TGAGCATTAGAGTGACAGAAAGATATGAGATTCTTGGCTTACTATGTAAAATGCAGTCACACCCCATCCTTGAGCGCTCACGGAGATTAAATTTGCATCTGAATCATGGTGCCGGCAGGCGAATCACATTGCCGCAGAGCCATGTCTGCGTTTAATACAAGAGATTACGTCGCCCCCCTTGATGACATCACCCCAACCAGCCTGCAAGCATGACATCATCCTCCTGGTATGTAATCCCCCCTGAGGATTTTTCAGTCCTGTGTGGAGTCTGATTGAATATTTATTAGGGGTTCCCTACTCGAGGCACAGGGACATTTTCACACCACAGCCTGTTTGTTAGAAAGAGTAGGCTCATCATGTTAACACAGAGTAAAAAGGAGGACTCATGAAACTGCAGTCATGAAACTGCAGCCACGCTGTCATTTTACCCCCAAAGCTGTGATGACAAGGGACTTATAAGACTGAGCTGATGTCATGTTGATGCAACGCTTACATCTTCCATAGGCAACAGGACAAAGCAGGATTATTTTCCACCTTATTCCTTTAAAAAGTTAGGGTGATGCTATGAAAGTGGACTCTTGCAGGGGTACAGATCCAAGACTCCTCTATTGGTCTTTAACTTGGACATGTCCTCTTTTTTGGGGGCTGTCCGGGTTTGTCCCAGAGTTTATGATATCCTTAAAATGTCCACAGTTTTGTATGTAAGTTTCAATTTTTTGTCACATGGACTTACTGAGTTAGAAGTCCGTAAAAAATATTCTATCTGACCCGCAAAACTCTCACAATTAACTTTGTGTGACTCTATGACTCCACCCCCGCGTACCGTGTCCTCTTTTTGGGAAGTCAGAATATGGTAACCGTACCTTGTTTAAAATATCACAATGCTGCTAGTATTAATCATTTGAACGATAAATATTGGATTGGCCGTCAAAAGTTAAAAGAATTACAAATTTATTGAGATATTTTCATTTTACTGTGAAATAAATAAAGATATGTCCGGGTTAACAATATTTTGAATTAAGCATCAAAAAATAGATTTCTTTTTAAGTCAATGAATCATCTCCACATATGGGTTACATATGATGAGGATGACGTCATTCCTGCTGAAGGCTGGGATGATGTCATTGGAGAGGATGATATCATCCACTCATTTCAGATGCACACAGTAGGCGGGGCTTTGTTTCCACTGCTCACGGTCTATGCCACACTATGGTCTGATCAGTGAAGCACACATTTTGACCTGATATCTCACCCTTGCCTGTAGACTGTAAATGTAATATTTATAGGTATCTGTCACTTCAATGCAATGCTGGAAAGAAATGGGGAATTTTTTCCAGGGGGGAATTAAAAGCAAAGAAGAAATATGGTGCTTCAGAGAACCTAGTTTCCAAAAACAAAATATTATTGCTGTTAGCCTTGGCAACATACTTGTTTTTTAAGTCTCCCCACAGAATCCAAATATGTTGAATATTTAGTGTGAATAAGGCTGCTTGTTTTTCTAATACCTGAAATAGCTCCCATCAAATAGCACTTAATGGATATTCCATCAATTTCCAAAGTCTAGCATACAGTTATGCTAGACTTTCCCCCCCTTTTTCCCCCTTTCCCCCTCTTTTTTTTCCTTTTTGAATGATCTTGTAAATATAAATCAGTTTATCATTTGATCATTGGTGCCAGTTTATCCAAAGTAGCTAACATATAATCCACCTAATATTAAAAATAAAAGTAGTCTGACACTAACTTGACCCCAAATGAAACTGCTGAAAAGAATCATCAAAATAATGAAAGTCATCTCCCTGCTGCTGTCTTTGTTACTCTCCTCTCTTTGGGGATTCTGGATGATTGTGAAACCAGAGGCTGCAGCTCCCCAGCAGCCACTGCAGTATTCAGTGACAGAGCAACGATTATACGGAGCAAATTTGTCTCTATAAAGACCAGTGGGCTGTGAAATCAAACTAAGGATCCTCCATCATGACGCAGGTCTGGGAAATCCATTTGTAGATTAATCTCCCTCTCCTTTCTTTGCATAGACAAATTTATGCAAGCACACAATGACGCATCCTTTCTACGTCATAAAGTTTGATGGTGGCCGTAGGCAGTAAATCTCACCCTGATGCCCACACAGGCAAGCACCCACGCTTTTTTACAGAAGGGGAATGGTACTGCCTTGATTACCTCAAGGCTTCCCCCGACTTTATGCCTGACCTTGGGGTAACCTCAGTCTCAGTGTGTTTCCAGCCCGGGCAGCAAAATGGTGTGAATGTTAAGGCTGTCAACATCCATAACAAGGTCCTGTATTTTAATCTGGAGGTCTTTTCATTTCCTTTTCCTTTGAGTGATACTTTAGTTTCCTCTCAAAGAAACATGCAGATTTGTCGGAAACGATAAGCATACTCGATAATGCGAGTGGGATTCAACCTTTATCAGATCAAAAATCTGGCCTTGGTTGAAGGAAATACTTTATTTCCTCTGGTTTTTGGTTCCCTCTTTGAAAAGACTGAGCAATAACATGTTCCCTCAACCTGTTTCTGCCGTGTACTTTGCTAGTTTAGCCAGGACGGCCCTGAACATGAGGGTGAAGTCAGGATAACCCGTGTCTGTGCACATGGTCAACTATTGTAACATCACAACCTCAGGAAAGTTCTGACAGCATATTCAAGTATAAATGTATAAATGCTACGATCCCAGTGAGGGATAATTATCTGTAAAGAGTTTGGGGTATCATAGTCAAAGCTATATATGTTAGACTATATTTGTGGGACACCTGAATCATTCACCATTCATTCTTCTATGAGGAGTTCCCTTTACAGTTAGTGCCACAGACATACTTTCCATTTCAATTATGACTTATTAACTTGAATGTCTGCTTGTATTTGAAAAACCAGGTCGGTTTAGTGGTGTGGCCAAGGATCCACATCTGGATGGAGACTTTTTTTTTCTAGGACTTGAACAGCAGGCTTTTGAAAAGAATTAAAGACAGATGTTGAGCATCAGAAACCTGCATTAGATTCTTACAGCAGGAGGCTGTTTGCATGTCTACTTTTTCTCATTCACTGGCCTCCATTCAAGATACAAGATGTGTTTGTACGGAAGAAAATTTGCTCATCACTTCATGCAGTTTCCTGGAAATTCTCTATTTTTTCTCAAGGGTGTGGGAAATGAAGATACAGAGGACAGAGAGGTCAGTGAGTTTACTGTTAAAGTACTACTGGTAGGCCTGTGTGTGTGTGTAGTCTCAGTTACTTAAAGCTCTTCTGGGGAACTTTTGGTTTGTGTCAACTTTGGCACCCCCTGTGGACAAAGCAGTCTTGGCAAATTCAACCCATTCAACACTTGGTTGGAGAAAACAACATTTGACAGACCCTTACCTGGTATTCAGATACTTATATGAATACAAAATCCATTCATTTGGATTGTTGTTTATTCATTTAAACCTAACAGAAAAAACAGCTAAAGATTCAGTTGCACAGCTACATACTTACTTGTTTATAGCTTTGCAGAAAGATGATTCTTCAGAGAGGGTAAATTAGGGGGAGAGAGAGGGACTGCTGGCCCCCAGAGATATTTTGCAGGAGCTGTGAGCAACATTTTTGGCCGGGAAAGCTGAAACTGTGGAGTATTCTCAACATTACGCAAAGCTCTGAGGGTCAGACAAGGCCATATGCTTGATTGCCTGTGACCGTATGATACGCCCTGTGACAAAATAGCAACCAGAGCATATGTATCATTTATTTTTTTCATATAATGTGAATTACGCAGCTAATAAGAATCAGGTTGATTTTTTTTTTTTAATTGTTCAATAAATGTTACTATTTATGTTGGTTCACATACTTACAAATTTACAGATTACTAAAGCGCCTTTTTGTTCAGTATCTGTAATACATATGTCTATCTATGGAGTTATCATCTTTTATACAGGAATAAGTCGTCTATAATAATTCGGTCAGATCTTCTGCTTTTGACGTCCCACCAACAGTGATGCAGTTCAAACTCAGCTGATTCATATGGCGTGTTACTGAACTGACTAAAAAAACTGTAGATGTGGGGTTGGCTTAATTGGCCACTTTCAAATTGCTAGTACGTGTGAATGTGAGCGTGGATGGTTGTTCACCTCTATATGTCAGCCCTGCGATGAACTGGTGACTTGTCCAGGGTGTCCCCTGCCTTCACCGGAAGTTGCTGGGATAGACTCAAGCCCCCCTGCGACCCCCAATGGGAAAAAGTGGTAGAAAATGGATGGATGAATGGTGTGGTCGCTGTCAGTATCCATCTGACTTGAAGCCAAAAGATTTAGAGCTCCCCCTGGTGACTGGTTACATGTAGTGATAAACACCACCTACATAGTGTCAGACAGGAACATGACATAGTGATGAAATTAAAACACTCAAACAAAACTCGTTAAGTTTTTACATTTTTCTGAGAAGTTTTAAGTTATTTTAGTTTATTGCTTCTTTTATTTAAAGAGTGGACGTGACAATATGATTGACAGCTCTGTTGTCTAATCCAAGTTCCTGCTGCGCTCTGTAGCCTACCTGTTAACTTTAATGTGTGTGTTGGTAAGCCATGTAGCTTCTGAGCATGCCTAAACTGGAATATGGTGTCCATTGGAGGATATTTCAGCTTTATATCTTTAAAAAGTTTGAAATGAGGTGGGACTATCTATTCTATATGCAGTCAATAGTTCTGTAGGATATGTCAGACCAATCCCTCCTTATGTTTATTTAAGAGTTATACTCAATAGTTTATCAATATGTTGTATTTAATCGTCAAGGTGTCTGAAATAAAATACCTAGAAGTAAGGAAATGAACATACTGACAAGAAGTAGCCATAAAGTGTAGTAACTCATATTCTTGTATAATCTTTCCAATTAATTAATCTACCTACGTACAAAAGACTGTTAAGTTAACTTCTGTACATGCTTATCAACTCTGACGTTTCCTTTGGTTGTACCCTCCTTTCCTTTTACGTATTCAGATTGACATTTTAAGTGGTTGGATTTCCGGAGCGGTGCCTGAACGCATCACAAGTGGGCTTGGCACTATTGTGTTTCGCTGCCTCTCGCTCCTTCCCTCCTCCGTCTGAACTCCACTCCGTCAGTCTCTCTCCGGTCCACCGGGAGGCTCGGTTGTATGAAACAGCAGCGGCGTGTGAGTGTCTGAGAGCGAAAACGAGTCGGTGTGTTTGTTTGTTACATTAGACTAAACTGGACTCAGAGATGGACGGTGAACTCTGACAGGATCTAAACTCACCTGAAGAAAACTCCTATCCTTCCTCTCCTCCTTATCCAAGGGGAAAATCTGGAAACAAAGGCGAGGAAATTCCTTCAAGCGATGTAAGGAAACTCTGTCGTTGTTATAAAGACTCAGTTTCACACTGAGGTGAAACTTACTGCAGCTTTGCTTTAAGGTAGCCCTTTAATGCCTGAAACTACAAATTATGGGCAGAAAATTGGAACTGAAATGTTTATTTCACTTACAACTGAAAACCAAAAAATTTGTATTCAGGTGTATTTTTACTAATTTGTTGATCATATTGAATTGATAGAAGTATATAAAAGTATGTATCAAGTATGATACAAAAGGCACTAAAGGGTTGGTAACTGTGTGTGATGTGTTTGTGGTTGATGTTGTGACTCTTAAAACCGTGTTTCACACTGATATGGGGAATTAGTCACTCACCTGTGTTGAAGTGTCAGCTTGAATGTTTTCTACTCCTGGCAGACAGACAGAGAGATAGCCTATTTATCGAGCAGATCATGGTCTGTTTGGAAATATTTATTGTCCTTTCATTGAGATAGGCTTTAATGACAACTTATCATGAATGAACCCCTATGCTCTTGTGGAGGGGACAAGCCTCTGCGCGCCTCCGTTGCAGACAGAGCAGCTCCAGGCGGACATGCAGTGAGTCAGACCTGGATGAATAGTTGGCAGTTCCGAGGGGCAGAGCTTCCCTGTCATGTGGAAAAACTGTTTCACACGGTTGTTTTCTTGAAGTCAAAGTCGTCTCCGAGGACAAGTTAGTAAATGCAGGGGCAAAGATTGTATCCTCTCACTCCTGTAGCTTCAGTCATTACTTTAAGAAGACAAGCACATCCATCACAGCTGTGAGCAGGTCAGCTCTGAGATCATGAGTGACTGTAGGCGGACATCTCACCTGACAGAAGTGAGGTCTGTTTTTGTAGTGTTGATGAAGTTGTGGGATTAAATTTACAACTTAAATTCATGCATTTACTGTAGGTAGCCTACTCTACATTTTTTGTCGAAATGCACTGATTGTGAAAACTAAGTCTGACACCGACGTGTAACAGTATGTCTGAATGTGATACCAGTGTTTGTTCATTGTTGATACTTGATACTATTGTTGATAATAGTAAATATCACCCTGCGCCAAATGGGCTGCACTTAAAAAGCACTTCACTTCATTCACTCTATACGCTCACTCACTGCTACTATCTCCTGCTGCAGAGCAGAAGCAGAGCAACTTTTCAGCGCTTTCTCACCTCCTCATTCGCAGACAGTGTCACCTTAATTATCAAGCAACTACCTCAAGTCACCTCTTCTAATCTGGAGGTGCCAAAAACCACTGATCCTTGAATGTCTACCAAAGTGGCACCAGAAACCACTTTCATAAAAAGCCCATTATTGGAGTGTTTAACTCATTACACTGTCTGTATGATTATTGGGGTTTTGATCTAATCAGCATTATATCATCATTGGCCCTCACAAGTCCAAATCACCATCTTCTTTTCCAAATGATAACACACTTCTCACATCCCCAATAAAAGCATATCAAACTAGAAAAGCACTCTTGAGCGCAGACCTCCACCAAGCAGCTCATGTCCCCCCTTATATTGTGATTCACACCAGAACTTTCACTGTTACGTGTCTTTTATTAACATTTATTTGTGTTTAAACTGGTATGTTCACTGTTCATAATGTTCCTAAAACATGAAATGCCCTGACTGGGATTCAAACCCAGGACCTTCTGACTGTGAGGCAACAGTGCTAACCACTACACCACTGTGCCGCCCATTGGTTATCTTTCAGCATTGAAAATTCCAATGACACCCTTATTTTTGTGTGTTCTGGATCACAGTATCCAGAATTTTGTCCGGATCGCCACCAAAATCAGGTCAATCCGTCTGTTACTTTCTCCGTAAAGTTTCTAACAGACAAACAAACTCACAAACAAACAAACCAACGCTACCGAAAACATAACCTCCTTGGCGGAGGTAAAAAGCCACTAGTAGTGGTCGACCAGTATCAGTTTTTCAACAAGTGCTCACTTAAGATGAAGAAGAAACAACAATGTGATATCGGCTTTGTACATCTGCTGTCAGCTGAGCTGCTCTCTCATTAACTGTATCAGCATTGGTTCCTGAATTGCATTACAAATATCGCTGTATTTATCAGTGAAGTTTGCAGATGTGAGATTTGTTGATAATGCTTTTCAGGTTCGGTGGATGTGATGTTATATTCAGTAGGATGATCTGTTTATACTGTGACAGGTATCTCATTAATGTATCTGAATGGATTAAATATTTGTAGGCTGGGATGCAGATCGCTGAATCGGATTAGTTCCTGGCAGTGTTGAATTTTTGAGAAATGTATTTTTGGCTTTAGCATGAAATGTAACTTAATTAGTGAGGCATTAAATTCACGGGGGAAAATATCCTGTTATTACATACATGTTCATGTTTTAAATAGATTTGTCGGAAAACGTCTCAGGCTACTTTATTTGCATATGTTTGTGGATTTGTTCTGTAGCAAGAGGCGGGCGTCCAGTTTGACAGATAATTACACGATGATCATGAAGCATGAAAAACTGGAGAAGAGTTTGAGTAAAATATGATTAATAAAATGCAAAAACATGAACAGGTACAATCAGAATACAGGCGAGAGGTAGAGAAATATCTATAGAGAAAACCAATCACGATCACGCAGATTAATAATTAACATTTGGAATAAATCCAAGAGGTTTAAGGCTAACACAAGAACACTGATCATGTGCTTTGTTAAAGTGCTCTTATCCGGTTAGTTCACTTCAGTCATGAGATTTTTGTGTAAATAATGTTCTTTCTATCTGACATGCAAATATTAACGGATGTGATCTTTTACTACAACCTGAGGCAAATACTGACATTTCTGCTTTGAAGTCTTCTTTATTGATTTCAAACAAACTTTTACACTTGTGTGAAAGCCGTTTAAAGTTTAGACTCTCAGTTTTTAACTTTCAGGAGATGTGTAAGGAATAAAATAGGTCAAGGTGTGTTCATCACTTTTCAGGAATGAAAAGAACCATCTGCTCAGGGATCAAATGAGGACTCTGGCAGCATTTCTTCATTTGTTTAAGACCGTCAAATGTTTCCACAAGCTGGGGCAAAAGAAACTCTGAATCCTGCCGTGGTCCGTTGCAGACTGGTCCTCAATGAGCTCTCTGTTTCCAACCCGACACGGAAACATTTCTGTCTGTCAGTCAGTATCTTTAGAGAGAAGTGATCAGTCAAAGTCCTGCTCGACAGGTCAGTACTTGTTTCAGAAGCTGCTGCAGCTTCCAATTTGTTGTTTTAATCTTAATGTGATGACAGGTGTGTGGGAGCACATGTGTTTGGATACATGAGATCATTCCTCTCGCTACTTAACATCCTTTGATAAATAATCAAGGTGTCATGGAAGCACTGTCAGCCTGCGTGTCAGTGTTTGTGTGTTTACTGTAGATCATCTGTAGAAGGTTAACACTGACATAATTATAGATTCTTGTAAATATGAACAGCATTTGTTAGGGATTAACGCATACATCTGCAAATCATCAACTTCAGTAATCACTTTAGCACATAGTTCCTGTCATCGACGCCCTCACGCACTTTGGCTTGTTTTTCTCTGCATGCCGTGTTTGTCTCATCTGCCGTATCATTACATCAATAGATGTGTGCTCAGCAGCTGGTGCAAAAAAAAAACAAAAAACACTGCATTAATTTATGGCTTTTCTGCTGCACCCAAACAAGCAGCTGAGGGCTGTTTTAATGAAGCCAAGTGTCCGTCAAAATAAGAGCATCATGTGTGAAGTAAAAAAGAGACGTTTTTAGGCAAATATAACCCCAAAATGTTAAGAATGAAAAACAGCAACAGTGGTTTTTGTGGCACTGACTTTGGCATATTTTGAGTGAGAATCTGTTGAGTGAAAGAAATTAGTTTCTTCATGAATGAGCCGATTTATCACTGAGAGGTGAATTCCTGTCTGGTTGAGCTCTGCCTCTAAAATGTGATTAATCTGAGATATCCTGAGCTGCTGAGATCAATTGCTATCAAAGTCCTTCTGGTTGCGCCTTTGCTAAGAATTTGAAGTCTTGTTCTTTAATGTAATATAACCCGCATTATTCCTGTCATGATGCCCGCCCTTGTCTCGCTTGAGTTATAGTTGACGGACGTACTGTAATCTTCTTCAAATACCTGTTTGTCATCACCTTTTAAAACCCTCTCTTTCTCTCTCCTCTTTCCTCAGAGAGATTCATCCCAACCAAAACTGAGCTGGGCCATGCTCACGCCATGACCACAACCATGTAAGTGTTGCAGCATGTCGTGTAAAGATCTGATAAAACTGAGGTAGCATCACGTATTTTATTTGCAGACTTTGAGAGCACAGATGTTTAGATTGCTCTCAGCTGGCAATGTCCGATTCAGATACACAAAGGATGTTAATCAGCCTTGAAACACTCGCCTGGAAGAAACATGTCCAGAGGAGAAATAAATTGAACATTATCCGACTTCCCGAAAGTTGAAAGAAAACTTTTGACAGGATGATTCTTGCAGCATAATGAGTCCAAACAAAGTTTACACCAACATGAAAAGCCAAATGTTAAATCCTGTTCTGTGTAGCCACATCCTCACAGAGGAGTTCATGGTTTTGGAGGATTTAGGAACACAACTTAATGAAAAAAAGACTTATTGTTGCAGAGTAGCAGTTTAATGGCAGGGCTGCTGATAACAGCACAGCAACAGAAAATAAGGTTTCAGGGATTTCTTAGAGTGGAAACAAGTCCAAACAGCCATAAAAACAGGGCATCATACTGATAAATAGGAATTTATAATGCTTTTTTTCCTCTCCTATTATATAATCTTTGTGTTTATAGTTTTTAGACTTATTCCTTTGTGAAAACTCAATAAAACATAAATTACCTGTTATATTTGCTTGCAATAAAGACAGCACAGCAGCAAGAGCAGATCATTTTCACATTTGTCAATGACTCTAGGATGCTGATTCCCAACTATAACAACAACAAACAAAAATGTGGGATAACATATTTTTATTAGAGGGAAGGATAAGTGCTTTAATAAGATTATAAATCACTGCTATGGTTATATAGAGGTATTTATTATGATGTTTAACACTTAACTACCATATTTTATCATTCACTTGTTAGTGTAAGAGCAAAAAAGTTTGATTTGAAGGTGATGGCAAACTTAATAAAACGTAATAATGAAAAAAACAAACACATTTCATGTCAATAAAAGGGTTATGAAGCTGTTTTTAAAAAAATGCTGCTTTCAGGTAAAGAAGGTACCTGAGCATCAGTGCATGTGATGCTGTAAGGCGTGTAAGTGAACTATTGCTCCAGCATCATGTGTCACAATACACACGCTCACCCAGATGAGTCATGAACGGTGCAGGAAAGTTGGTCCACCAGTTCTCTCACAGAGCTATGACGGCAAACACACCCTCACCTCCCACTGCTCTCCCATCACACCTGTTCTTAAGTTTTCATTGTAGGAGAGAATCTCTTTATTTTATCTTATTAACCATGCTTTGGTGTATCAAACATGATTTGCAGAACTTGATCCGGTCTATGACTAATATAAATATCTTTGTTTTCCTACTGTCTATATGTTTTATTAAATCCTTCTAACATCAAACAGATCATACAGGTAGGAGGTATTATTTACAGATTGGGTGGTAATGCAAATTAGAATCCCAACACTGAAGATACTCTTATTTGCATAGCTTCCCACTCACTATAAATTATCCTGTTGATCACCTGGCTGCTAACCAAAGACATACACAAGACGTTTCCATGGCAACAGATTCCTATCAGCTTCTTTGAGACACAAATACTTATACAGTCAAGTTTAAACATTAGCCGGCTTATCTGTTACAATTCACATCAAACTGGACATTTCCATCGAAGGTGACGTCTGTCACGGCGAAGAGGACTTCTGCATGAATATTTATATTGACGTTTCCTTCCTCATTCAGCTCTCTGTTTTCTCAGAGCTTTGCAGTTGACACACTTCGAAACAAACACAAGGCAAATGTCACAACTTTTAATCTGTTGTACCGGTCACGAAAGAGAATTTTAGCACTTAGTAGGAACTGGTGACCACAAATTTAGTGACACATGATGCTTCTGTTGACTTTGGTGCGCCGGATGGACAAAGTAGTAATCCCTGTATCCTTGCTGATTCAATCTATCCTTGTGAAAGTCGAGTTAAATGACTTTTTGACATATTAGAGACACATCACTGCTCATCTCGGTCTGTTTCTTAATCTTAAGCTCCTCATAGGAGCTTTAATTGCTCAGTGAGTCCCATGTCACTCAGATCTCTTTAGATGTATTGTTTCCTTTTTACTTCTATTGTCCCTCTTGTCTCTTTTTAACCTTAATACAGCTGCAGTTGATGTTTCCCCTCTTTCTCTCCTTCTCCCCAACACTCATCTCCACTCTCTTTCTCTCTCTCTCTTTGTTTCTGCAGGGGTCTGTCTGTGATGTTGACAGTCCTCATTTATGTTTCCCTGCTGTCCCACGGTGAGTCTCCCCTCTGATTAAACAGATGTTGCGTGACATTGTCTTGTTTGCACTTTTGCACAAGTGAGCCTGTCAAACGTGTACAAGGGTTTTTGGCAAGTTTTGGTCATGGCAGGTAGAGTCTGAAATATTATTGAAGGGTAAAGTGAGAGCATTAAAGGGTCTAACTGTGGATGTTATAGAGAGTAAAACAAACATTTTTTTCCTAGTTTAGATAGAAGTGTGAAGGTAATCTCAACCAGGAGTTCACATTCCTATTTTTAGTAGCGTCCAGGTTTATGAAAAATTAACACCAGATGTGGTGAGTGTACACTTAATCTCCAGACGCACAGGACACATAAGCCTTAAACCAGAATCAGTGTTTGAATTATATATTGTGAAGCTACCAACAGATTTCCCATGTGCTGCTTCGGCACAAGAAAGTGAAAACCACTGTGCTCTCCTTGAACAGTGCAGTCACACTGTAGCATGGTCTTCACATGAAATATATATAAAAACTGAACAAGAGACATGCACGTTTTTATAGAGAAAATTGATGGATGAATTCTATTGAAATGAAGAAGAAAAACCATAAACGTGAAAATTAATGAGTACAGATTTGAAGAGATATCGTACTGAGCAATAGACGGCTATTAGACGTCTAGTTTTTTTTTTTAGACTTAATTTCAACCGTCTAGCTTCTGTATATTTTTAGACGGAATTCAGGCGTTGCACTTTAACCCATTATTCGATATCCATGTATTTCAAAAAGCAACTGTGAGTTGCATGACTGATCTTTAAGTACTTAACCAAAATAATTATGATAGCCGTTGAGCAATATACGGTTAGACCTCTGTTAGCTGGCTAGTTTAAACTTGGTCTAAATTTAGAGGTCTAAAAAAGTTTCATTTTTGGACCTGTGGTAGCCGGATTTTAGACCAGTCTAAAAAAAAAAAGAAAAAGATGATTAAATCATTTTCATCCGTCCTCCGGTCTCTTATTTTGTCACTTTCATGCTTGACTTTTCGGCATGTCATTTCCCTGTTGATTTTCCAGTTGATTCTGCATTATGGCGAGTTGATGTTAAAGTGTAATGAAAAGTGCCTAATATAAAATGTAATTGTTGTATCCAGATTACATACTATGTACATACTATGTATTGATTTAGGTTTTTGTTAGTGGAACCTCTATGCCCCTACCCAGACATGAAACTGGTCCCTGGTACAAAAAAATTTGGGAACCACTGATCTAGGTTACATTTAGACGTCTATTAGACTTCTTTTAGACCAAAAAATGCTCAGTAGGATATTTTTGCAAGAAAAAGCCCTTACACATAAATTTGTCAGCTCAAAAGAGAGACACGCTCTTTTTTATGTTTTAATCAGGAGTCATGTTACCTCTGTACTTATTGCCTAATACTAAGAGGGTGCATATTTGTATGCTTCCTTTCTTAAAGAAAATGTTGGTTGATTGTATAATATTTGCAAAAAGAACCAACTTTTATTGAAACTTAATGAAATCACCGTCTTGTTAGTGTAAAAATCCAAAATTGCTGAGTTCCCTTCTCTCCCTCTCTGTCAGCAGGTGTTCAGTGTTCGAAGTCCAAACAAGAAGACTCTCTTCGCTCAGGTGTCCATGACCTCCCATGGCAGGATCAGCTGTGCTGTGACTCACCCGCAGCCCACCTCAATGAGGAGATAAAAGACGCGCACGCACCGGCGACAAACCACTCCGGATCAAACCTTCCACATCATCCCCGCTGTGACTTCAAGAGCTCAGTAACTGGATCACAAAGTCTCTGGCGCTCTGGTGGTAAGAGATGAACAACAGTGAAAAAATTAACCTCTCAAAGGAAAACTTTATGAGTAACATTAGAAAACTCTTCCAGACTTTTGTGTTTGTTGTTCTCTGTTCAAACAATGTACAGTGTGTACTTCAAATAGACAAATAGAGTCGGTGGAGTCGGTGTTAGAAAACATAAAAGAGCAGATTGTTTGCAGCACTTTGATGCAGATTTCTATTTATAGAAACCAGAACACTTCTGAGACCCAAACCTGAACCACAATACATGACTGACCTTTAACAGACGTGTGATTCTTTCGCTAATTAAAGAGAGTTACAGGGTTTTATAGACTTAATAAGCACATTCCTGTTTAACAGATGTTCTTTTGTAGATCATTGACTATCAACCTTCTAAGTTTTATAAATATGAGGATGCGTCACAGCTGTTCTGTTTGTCTTAATGCTCATGTCCCCTCAGTTCTTATTGGAGGGGACATGAGCATCACTGCTGCGTTGGCGTTTGCAGCCCAACATTTGAGGGACACATTTGTCACCCCAGGCAGCAAGTGGGTTTCAGTGTTATGTGACTCCTGCTCATCAGAACCAACAGCAGAGTCACGATGACAGGGCCTAATAATTCCGCCTGCAGCACTGTCAATTGTCGCTGATAGAGATGCCTCCAAAGATCAGCCTGACAGGCTCATTACCCCGTGATGGCCTCAGCTGCTGCCCCTCCAGGCCTCTTGTCCTGATGTGTTGTGATCAATTCATGAGAACGTCTTGCTCTCAGGGACCTCATTTCATCAGTCGGCACAGCGGAATCAAAACAGCTGTTTCTACCTTTTCAATGTAGGAAACTGAAGCACTTCTGTTGTTTACCAGTGACAGAAAGTAAGAAGGTTATTGAGATTCAAATAAGACAGTTTGGTTCTAAGTGTTTTGAGTCTTCAGTATAAAAATCCTTTCTCTACATCGTCCGCATAGAGGTGAAGGCAGAGGTGAGACGACAAGAGGGAGGTGAGGAAGATGTGTTTGTTTGCATCGATCTGTGAGGCTCCAACAGCTGCTCTGTGACGCATCCAGATCAATAGTAATTAGCTAAGACCTTTCCACTTTAGATCTAAACAATGATTATTAAACAGAGAAGCTAAAGGCCTCCACTGAAGCTCCTGACAGTTTTATGTGGCCCTCTACAATCAGACGTGCGCAAAGGTCCCGAGCTGTCATGCTAGCTTAGTAGATTCTTATTTCATTCACACATTTTAGTGTTTGTTCGTTTCTTGACAAAATAATCTAGTTTTAAGTCATTAAAATGAAAATTGAGCAACGTCTAACTGACAAAGATCACCATCACCAAGAAAACCATAGATTGTATATAGAATGGACACGTCTGCCTCCTCGCCACTCTGAGAACAGCACCCCCTGTTGACGGGCTGCAGTATAGGTCATAAATCCCGCCTCCTCCAGCAATCCCTATGTAGCGGTGGACAAACTTTAGAAATTAATTACACAGAATATAAATTTTTCTCCGCCCTGCTTTTTGAAAGTTATCATGTTTTCTATGATTGACACTTGATACAGCCTATGGGATTATGAAGATTGCGTAGGTCACCCGGGGGATATGCTCTTTAGGCGGAGCGTCATCACAGCGACTGTTGGCGACTCTGCCGCAAAATGCGTACAACGCTACTGCGCAATGTTGGTGTCAGGAAATGCGTCCTTAGAAAACAGTCAAATTGCGATTCTTTGTTTACCCATGTTTAAAAATGTGTGCCCATAGTCTGTGGGTCAACAATATCAAAGTGTTGCTAATGTCAGCAGAGCCACCACCACCGGACTTTGGTCATCTGGGCAGGTTACAGCCATCTCTGATTGTGCTGGTGCCAAATTGTTCCAGTCAAATGATGTTTAATCATTCAGTTAACTGAACACACATCCCAAGGACTGACTGTAAATGAAAACTGTTGTCATTCTCCTTTAAACCTTGCTTTGGTGCCACTTTGTAAATAAATGCTCTTAAGTAGGACCGAAATAGCAGCAGGAGTAGCTCAGTCTGGAAGGTCATGGGCTGAGGATTGGAGGGTTGCCGGTCAGAGTCCTGGTCAGATCTTATCTGGACTTGGCCTGGTAACTGGAGAGGTGCCAAGTCACTCCCCGAGTGCTGCCAAAGGCACCAGACCCTCCCAATAGCTCATAGCGTGGCTCCAATGAGGGCAGCAAGGCCGTCACTCTGACATCCCTTTCTCTTCATTAGTCCATGTCCATGGGGATCCTGTTTGTGAATGTGTATTTGCAAGTAAATCAGCCTGTGTGTGTGGGTAGTATGTATAACAACAGAATATATACTGTGACTTAATCCCTGTGGGGATTAATAAAGCATGACTTACCTTTAAACAGGTTACTATGGTGACCGTTACATCTCCTGAGCTTTATTTGTGCCAGTAAATAAGCAAAGTAAACACATGTGAGCATGTTAGCTGTGTTATTATGAGCATTAAACCAGCTGACATTACTTTAAATCATTACTTTGCTTTGCTGCAGCCTTTAACTCTTCCTTAAAGACATGTTAGTGCAGGAGGAAGATCTTCAATCTTTAAAAAAACATATTTCAGAGAATTTTTAAATCCCATGACCTCACCATGAAAGATTTATTTTTTAAACAACAGAGGTAATTTAAAATCCTTTTACCCTCCATTATGTCCAGGCTGGAAACTATCTTACCAAAGTGGTGCCTGTGGCTGCTGTGTTGTACTCATTTCAGTTCCCCAGCAGAGATTTAGTTCCCGGTAAATTAAACCAAGCTGTGTTCTCAGAAGGTCTCATTAGGGGGTCTCAGTCAAGTGATGCTGAGCATGTTACTGACATGCAGATTGAATCTCTTGCCAGGCACCTGTTTGGACATACTGTGCAGACTTCAAAACCCGGAAAATCTCACTTGCAAACTTCAGCCTCTTGGTCCACCGTCATCTGCGCTGGTTTTGGGTCCTGTGGCTATCAGTTTACAACGTCTACCGTGAGTATGAAGCTGCAGATTTTGTTTATTTTGTAGTTCCTTCCTGGCAATATTTTTTTCCACTGGTTGTGAATGACTCTTTGTTTGTGGGTACGTGTGTGTTTTGATCCGAGCCTTTTTTACCGCTCAGTGGGGGTTGCGTATGCGCTATTTCCTTCGAACAGCAGAGCTCTGCTTTTATCATCTCACACCATCTTCTTCAGCAGCTGAAAAACTTACCCAGTTCTTCATTTTGTGACACTTTATTTTCATGTCTTCTTCATTTTCCATCTTCTGAGAAAACAATCTGTGTTTCCATATGCACTTCCAGGTCGGAGACGGATGAGAATCCTGCGTCTTATAACCCTGTTGTCTGTGAGGCAGAGGACTCTTTCACCTGTTCGCTGACTCTTGATGCTACAACAAGCTTTGTCACCACGGTAACCGTCAGCATCTCGGACACTGTAGCCCCGCCGGTCCTACTCCAAATTCCCGCTCGACCTGGTGAGGGCTCGTTTTATTTTGCGATTTATACACGTGCTCTTTGTCTTAAGCATGAAACTTAAAAAAGGACATTACGTAATGCATTGTGATGGTCTTTACAGATGACCTTACTGTGCATTTCACAATACCGACTTTGTTTCATTCACCTGCAGCTAGCGTAACAAGTCTCTCATTTCCATACAGTCAAATACAAGGCTGGGAGAAATTAGGGAAGGGCAAGAAACCCTGAGTGGTTGTTTCATTCATCAGACAGGGTCCTTCCTGTAATTCTTTAAGATAAAAAATAATAATTATCAGATTTGATTCACCATAAAGTTGACATGACTTATAAACTGTAGCCATCTTTCTACACTGACACTTGGGAAGTTATGGGAAGAATGATTTAAAATGCACTGAAGGAAGACAGCAGGTATGAAACTTGGTCTGCTAACAAAAAAAAAAAAAAAAAAGTTGTGTTATGACGGTTGCAAAAATTCTTCAATAACAGACCATAAAATAATCCTTCAAGTTTTTGCATCAGCAAAAATATAGATTAAGCTTGCATTTTTAGCTTGTACAAATTTGCATCATAATTTTATTAGTTAAAAATTTAAGACTTTTTTACTGCAAGTCAGTCATTAGGAGAACAGTTTGTTAGTCAAACAGCCTATATGTGACTTAACTGTTAACAGTGAAACTGAGACTCATCAGAAACAGGTAAACGGACGCTCCTTTAAGGTGATGTGAGGTGATGTGTTTCTTTGCAGACATCGAACACAAAGTCACTTCTAAAGCTGCTGATTGGACTGTAACACTGTGCTCTTTAAATCTGATATGATTATTATTCTTGGCGGTGTTGTAAGTGTTGAAATATGAATTAACTTATCTGTTACTGACTTTTCTGGAGTGTCCTAAGTACATTACAGTAAGGCATCAAAAAGCTAATTCCCAGCATTGACTTTTTTCAAAGTCACTCAGTTACCGGCATTTGTGCTCTAATAACAGATTCAGCCATGTAAGGAGAAGACTCAGGGCTCTCTAGTGTTTAAAACACCGACAGTATTCAGACGTCTAATTTTAACTGGATGGATTTAGACAGAAAAGGACAAAGATTCTTACTCAGTTGTGATTGGCAATCGTGACTGGAATAGTGGAGAGGAGGTGGGCCGTGACCTTGTCTTCCTTAGTGTGAGTTAGTGTGTGTGTGTCCATCCTCATCCATGCTGTGAGACGCCCACAGTGACGGACAGTGAAAGACGTTCCAGCGTTCAAACAAACCTTTTGGCCGAGCTGACAGAGCAGAACAGGAACTGTTTGTGAATAGCGCCTACTCTGGATTTCCAGGAGATCTCTGCACAGAGGGGTCCTACATAGTCCAGTATCCATCAGAAAACTGGTGCCATCAGTTTAACATGTAGTATGTACGGATTAAAGTATATGCATCATAATATCATGTATTATGTATGTGATGAATTATGCGACATATTCAGTGGAAGCGTTTGTTTAATGCATACACATCATGGTTTGTACTCTTAGCTTGTGCATCCATATTTTGAATGTGGTAATTCTCTGTATATGTTTATATAAACAAATACTGTAGGTGCACATGCTAATATACAGGAGAGTGCCGAGCGATATGAAGGGGACATTGGCAGTCTAGATAATGACTGAAGCATTGTAAGAAAGTGGACTCAGCCATGCCATTAGTCACTTTATGTAACAATGATTTCACATTAGCACAGTGTTGGTTTGTCTAGTTTGTTCATATCTGGTAGAGAAGCCGCTGCAATCTAAATGAGCATTTTCTTCACATTTAGCTGTATATGGTTTCTCTTCTCATCATATCTTGGTTGTTGTGCATGTTTCCTGGTTGCACTTACATATGATGGGACCTTCAGTTAGATATCTCCATAAACCCCTCGGCTTGACTCTCCACAACCACCTATTAAGTATCTGGATTAGTTGCGCCATTATTTTCTGTATTGATTGTTAAGTATCAAATACAAAAGGAAAAGTGAAAACATTTTGCATTTTTTTCTCTTGGTTTGTAGTTCCGCCTTGCGATAGGTTTCCCCTCTCAGTGAGATGTTACCTGAGGCTAACAGTCATTTGCTCTGTTCTTCTAATTATAATCATATCAGGGAGATAATCAATCGCGTTTCTTCCATTGTGTAGTACACTCAAATGACCCCTTCAAGAGAGCGCTGACAGCCCTGCTTTTCTCTGGTGTGAGAGCAGTCTGGAAAATAAATAGCTGACCAATTACTCATAATGTTGAGTAATCTCTTCTCCGCCAGCAGGCATCTTTGTGGTTTTATGAGACATGATTATTTCTGCCTGTAATTGTCCTCACTGATTGATGGAGTAACACTGGCTGCTACGCCTGTCTCGCTTCATTGAACGACGGTTAATGCCTGTGTTGATGTACACCGCCGGAAATCATTTCCCAGTTATGATATTAAAGCATCTATACTGTGCAGATGATTCATGTCTTAACTTGGTGAAATTACAGTTGTATGCTCAGAGCAAAAGGTGGAGTTGATATATTTTCAATTTTTCAAGATTTATTTATCTAATACTGAAAATCCTTGCAAAAGAATGAGTAAAGTATTGATCTTCATTGCCTGTAATTACTCTTAGATGTACGCTGGCCTTGCATCATATTTCCTCATATGCAGTAAATAAATATCACAGCTATAGATACTGAGAAACAACATGTAGATGGTGTTAACAGGCTGCCTGGAAATAATGGATCTTTTTAGTCCCTCACAGTTGTAAATGGGGGTGTAAATGGTAAAAATGATCATCTGCTTTTATGTTCACTTGTTGTGAAGATCCATAGAAATGTTAGAAATAATTATTGTGCTTTTTATTGACTCCACTGTGACAAATGAACTGTACATATATGTGCTTCTTTTTTAATCTAATCTCTCTTTTTCTACAGGGAAACCAAGTCCTCCGGTTAACCTGTCCCACATCCAGACCATTGAGCCGCAGCTGATTTTACTCTGGGACGATCCATCTGAATTTATCACCGACTCGCTGACATACGAGGTCCGGTACTCCTCTGATTCCTCTCTTCCAGCCTGGCAGGTAACTCTCAGAATTGGTCATAGTTATCAAATTCATTAAAGGTATTTTAATGTAGACAGAAGGCTGTTATGTTGGAAGCTAATACTGAAGCTCTTCGAAGTTGAGGACAAATTTTCCAGCCTCTCTGACTAGCTGATTTTGGCAACCTAATGAGACGTCCTGTTGGGATACTGATCCAAGGACATGTCCACCCAGTAGCTTCAGATCTCTTCTTTCGAGGACAGGCCCACCCAGAAGCTCCTTAAAATCCCCCCCCTTACCTGTAGAGTACATTTCACCACTCAGCTTTTCCGCTTACACTTTGTGGATTCAGTTTGTCTCAACAAGTGTCTCTCAAGTTTTTTTCATTCTTTTTTCTTTTTTTGGTTGTGAGGGAAACTCATCACCATTTTTCCTTCCCAAAGACAAAGAGACTAGAAAACAGAGATAAGTTTTGATGTTTCTGGACAGCAGCAGCCATAATTTAGATATTTGTACTTTCTGCTTTACTGATGACCCTTTTGTCAACAAAGGCCACTATAAGCTGGAGTTGCACCTCAGCTGTTACTAAAACCTCAAGACATAACTTCCGACTGCAAAGCTGTGTGAAAAGTAACACCCACAGGCCCAATGTCTAACTTCATGTCTCTGGTTGAGAGGTTGAGGCTGAATGGTGCTTAAATGAGTGTTTAACATAAGATCAACCTTTTGAGCTGCAGATCAGGGCAAAGAGTATATAAAGTCTCCTTTATAAATTGGTGCATTACTGTGTTTCTTGGTCTAAAACCCTGAAATTTTTGACCAACAATGGACTATTTGGGGGGGTTCCGACTCTGACAGCAAACCCTTCCGCAGTGGGGGTTCAGTGAAGCACAATAATCAGCACAAGAAGGCAATCAAACACAAATACTATATTCAGCAAACCACCGGACGTCGATTAACGTGGACGCTCTTCAATCTTCCTGTCTCCAGCCAGTCTCCAGTGGGTTGGGCGAATCTAAAATAGTGAAAACTAGGGGGTGTTCTGAGACAGGCTGTTCCCTGTGAAACGGGGGCGCTCTGAAAACACCCCCACTAGCACTTGGTACATTCCTCCTGATGAAATTAACCATAGACTGTGAATTGAGGCGGGAAAAAAACCCCATCAGAATTTTAGTCAATCAGCACTAGGACTTTACAGCCCTAATACTAATATCAACTTTTGAGCGTTGATGATAGTTTTGACATTTTAAACATGCTGGGAAAAGAAACTTCAGCAACAAGACAAACAGACTCACTGTGTTTGCACTTTCTTGTATTTATGCTGTTTCTATGTTGCATTAATTTCCATTGCTGAGACATTGTGTTTATTTAGTGTGACATTTTCACACTCAGTAGGGGCTGAAGAGCCTCAAACAGTGTACTTAGTATTCAACAGTGTATCCACTGTTCAGCAGTGGATTATGATTCATCCAGGGGCGAGACTCCGGACTCAAGACTCCTATAGACGTTTAATAAAACATGATTTCACTGATTCTTGTTAAAACTTCTCTATGTCCCTGTGGGTAATGAAGTCCCTTTTTGTATGTGGTTGGCTAAATTATTCTGCATACAGCCCAAGAAACTTAAAAGAATCTCCTCAGGGTGTTTTATATATTAACAGCATTTCGCTCTTTTCAATCACTTAACGGGTTTAGGAAAAACTTAAAAGAAAAAACGTTCTAGGAAACAGAGGATGGACTTTTACACACGTTTAGCCAAGTAAATCAAAGCAGGTTGAAAAGTCTGGAGTCTTATTGGAAAGACCTGAGCTAATCAGTCTCCTCTCCAGTGTTCAACCTTAACCTCACCTTCAAAGTGATTATTCAATAACTTAGTAACACGATCAGTAACAAGATTCGCTCTATAAAATCAGTATACAGCAGTTTTACTCCGCTCAGGTTTCTGTTTATGTGTGACTTATGAGGGATTTTGTTCAGTTTGGCTCATAAGAGAGACTGTCAGTGAAACCTGCCAGAAAAAGCAGGTGTCTACACTCATTGTCCAATGTTGGTACAGTTAATGGGACATAAAACAGCAACCACAATCATGTTGTGATGACGGATGAGATTAGGTCATCATTCTCACGTGGAAACACTCCCAACTACCCTGACATCGGTTTGATTAATGTGTGTTTTGACTCTTTCTTCTTCTGTCCAGGTTGTTCCTGTACTTGGAGAGCCCAGGTTGTCACTGGATCTGAAGCCCAGACTGAACTACACCATCCAGGTCCGCTGCTCCAGCTTGGATGGGCCTCCTGTGTGGAGTGAGTGGAGTGAGCCACACCACATCTTCCTGGACAGTAAGAAGTTTCCCCTTCTCAATCAGCTCAATAAACTCAAGTTGTTTTCAGGATTTGTTTCTTCTCCAAATTAATGAAAGTGAATATTAATGTGAACCTGGGAACTGGTTCAAGGTCCGACAACCCCAAACCCCTCTGCCCAGCTGCAACAGAGAGGGTCCCCTCAAGCCAAGTCTAGTCAGAGATTATATCCAAAGACACCATCACCATGAAGATCCATGGATTACTTAAGATCTATGAAGGTTGTATGTTCTTGCTCGAGGTGTCTCTGAACATCTAACCATGTCAGAGCAGGGTCTTGATCCCCCTTCTCTCTCGGATGAGGAACCTCAACGTAGAGTTCTTAGTGATGGGAGTTTGGGCTCTGAATTATTTGTCTCAGCAGGAACCAGGTCTTTGGGTTCCCAAACAGCTCTTCATGGAGATGGCTCTCAGGGCTGAGTCTTCATGATACCAGGAACTAATCATAGTCCCTCAACCTTTAACGGCATTCTATCTATCTATCTATCTATCTATCTATCTATCTATCTATCTATCTATCTATCTATCTATCTATCTATCTATCTATCTATCTATCTATCTATCTATCTATCTATCTATCTATCTATCTATCTATCTATCTATCTATCTATCTATCTATCTATCTATCTATCTATCTATCTATCTATCTATCCATCCATCCATCCATCCATCCATCCATCCATCCATCCATCCCCAGTACTTATTAGCAGATAGACTTTCTAGGTTTCTGAGATAAAGGAAACCCTAATAATGGTAATGAAGATAACTCTAGTAATCAGGAAGTTAAATTACGTACTTTTACGCCTTTAAAGGAATTGGCTTGCTAGGATTTAAACCTCGCCTGATGGCTGCAGTAAGTGTCCATAGAGTCTCCGAACGGTGCTGCAGAGGAGGCATGATCCCTGATCTCAATCACCTCACAGGTAGATTTATGTCGGCACTAACCCATTAAAACCAGTTTGACTCATTAGCCTTTAGCTGTTAATGAAGAGCTCATTTCAATACAGTCAATGTCATTGGACTCGTGATTCAGAGGTCATTTTTCAAGGTGACTGACCAGCAACAAATCACAGTTTGACACTGAAATTACAAAGTAAATGTCAAGAGATAGCCGAACATGCAGCAACAAACCATGAGGGGTTTCCATGACAGTGTGTTTTAAAATGATGAAAATGAGAGAAAGAAATCTCCAAACCTTGGCTGGTTGTGCATTTGTGCTGCACCAACAGTCTTCTAATTAAATGTTAGCATTCGCTGGAGGGCTTTAAACAGTAAGAGCAAGATGTCTCAGTCCTGCTCTGGTAAAAGTGCTTTTAATAATCCTTGTAAAAAACTGCCTTAGTCATGGTTTTCTTTTTTTTTTGTTGATATTTCAATGGAATAAAATCATTGTTTTATGTGTTCAAAAAGGGGCAGAAGCCTGTAGGGTGACATAAAAGGGAAAATTGGTCCAATAAAGAGAAAAATATCACAAATAGGTGTCAAGAAAATGTCAAAAACTAGTGAATCTATTAATCAGATGTAATATTCAGAGAGTTTTTTGGATGAGAAAGTGGTCAGTCTGTTTTCAAGGAGATCCAAGAGAGTTTTCCCTGCATCACATTAAAATCTCCTTGATCTGCAGATCAAACGTTGGGGGCTCAGCATGTCTCCAATTAGAGAGGGTCGAACAAAGCGGGGTGAGAGAAGCTACAGACTTGTGTAGTGGGATACCAAAAATGGGTAGTCATGGTATTTGTATCCATCACTATTGAAACCTTTTATGGCCCATCGACTGTCTGTGCTTTTCAGCTTTATGTGTGAAAAAAACATGCAAAGCTTTGAACTTTTGAGGGTTTGTTCTACAAATCTTTTTCTTTCAGTTCTCCATTAATAAACACGTGCATGCGTTGCTCATCCTCTAAAAGTGTGTCAAGGTGTGTCATGAGGTCAAAGCTTTTTTACTTGGAAGAATTTAGTCATCTGGTTGGCACAAAAATTATTGACAGAAAAAAGTCGCTAAAACGTCAAAAAAACTCAAAAAGAAAGTACACTTAACAACTGTAAGAGACGTTTCCTGATGCATATCTCTTGTGAAATATTTTGAACGATAAACGGACATGTAACGTCTTTTCTCATTAATTTCCTTTTGTTGAGCTGTTCACCTGTTTTGTGCATGAGTCAGGTTTTAGAACAAACAGTGCTTGTCTGCTTCTGCGGAGGTGTTTGTATCACACCCTAAAACACACACACACACACACACACACACACACACACACACACACACACACACACACACACACACACACACACACACACACACACACACACACACACACACACACACACACACACACACAGAGCGGACCATGCAGCAAACAAACTCCCTGAAGTGTTTCTGTTGTCTTGGGTTAAAAAATCTTCATGGAGAGTTCAGATGGATGAGAAATATTCAGTTTGTTCAGCTTTTTATTTTCATTGATCATTTTTCAAGATGTTTTCAGTTCTTTTTGTTATCATAATAAGGAGAGGCTTAAAACAACGTGCTTCCACTGCAGTTAAAAAAAAACTTTCAACATGAAATCTTTGAGGTTCAGAAAAGACATTTTTCAGTTTATAGATGATCGTTTTTCAGTATTTTAAAACATTTTCAAACAGTTCGGAATTTTCTTTTCTTTATTTAGTAACAAGAAAATTTTGTCATCTTAATATATATAGAATTTAGCTCAATAGATTGTGTCTCACTTTTAATTATAAGGTTTAATAACAAGTTTTTTTTTATTAATTTATAATGTAAAAACTATTTAAATTATTGTTATTGTCATAGATAAGGTCATAGGTTGTATTTGTGTGAAAACTTTTAGTTATAATTTGAAATTATATCAAAATGAACCTGGTATATGTGTGTTTGTGTTTCTGTGCAGCTGTGAGCTACATCCCATGGGAAGTGGTAGCGCGACCGGGGGAGAACGTGACCGTCTACTGCGTGTTCAACGACCATAACCTCAACGCAAGCGCAGCTGTGTGGACGCGCAACTTCTATAAGCAGCTTCATCACAGCCAGTACCACCCAGTCAACCAATGGGTGAGATACACAATAACTCTCCTAATTTTGATAACAGACTGCATGCTCTCTATGCCAGTAGTAAGTTTGACTTTTTCATCACCAGGTCAGTCAGATCACGATTCGTCCTTCAGAGACTCGCATGTATGACCTGCTGCAGTGCACTCAGAAGTGGAACATCGTGTACAGTCGGATATATGTGGAAGGTGAGCTGCTTTGTTGCAGTGATTCTAATTGAGAGGAGCTTAAAGTTTATTTGGAGTTTTTTTGCTTTATGGCAATAATTAAAACAAGAGAAACCAATAAAACGTAAAGCTGCAATGAGGAGTTTTTTTTAATTTTTGAAACAGGCTGATTTTTGTATCGATGCCTTTTTATGATACCTAAAAGCAAAACCAACCATCAGAGGCAACTTATATATTGGCAATTTTAACTGGTGTGAGACGGTAGGTTTCATTGAGCAGCTGAAGAAACAACCCTGCTTTTGTAGTTTTCACATGAAATATTCACAAAAATGATAAGTCTGACTGTGAAAAGTCGGCAGGATGAGATTTTTGTCAAAAGACACACCTTGAGCATGTAGAGGACAAGATAAGCAAAGACTGCATTGACCACAGGACTGCCAAAGTTAACAACACAAACCTTAAGTTGCTCACAGGAGCTTTAGATAGTCTTCTGACAGAAACATCATCATCATGCTAACGTTTGGCAGTAAACTCATTCATATTAAATGTGTAAAATATAAAAAGGGCTGTTTCTGTATCTGATTGTCTGACAACCACCCCCTCATATCAGATCAAGGCGCTAAAATTATTTTCAGGCCTGTCACTGATGGTCTTGTTTACTTTTGTACATCATAAAAATGCATTCATGCATCTCACCTTGCTTTCTTTTTATGTATCAAGCAAAAAAAATACTTTAAATATTTGCCATGAAAAATATGTGATAAAAACAGTTTTGACAGATTGCAGTTAATCACTTACTCTGAAACTGTCAGTGTTTTCTTAATAGTTGAAACACTCATCCTTAGTTCTTATTTTGAGCCTTGTTCAGTTTAACATCGTCACATGATGCTGACAGTGGAAATAAACCGACTGGTAAAAAGTCAAAAAAGAGTAGCAGGTGGGAGAGCGAGTGGGTTAGATAAGTTTAGTCCAGGAAGTTAAGTATTTCTTTTGGCAGGGAGGACAGAGCAGCAACAGACAGAGAAAGAGATTCTTGATTTTCGGTCAAAGACATGTTGAATGAATGCCAAAGAAACTTTACACCCTTGCCTGAACATGCATGACCTTTTGAATATATGCAGGGTCTGCTTTCCCACAAGTTCCCCCATAGACTGGTCCAGCTTTGACTTTAGTTTTTTTGTTGTTGACTTCACTTAACATCAAACTTAGTTTTAGAAACTACACTCTGTCCACTCTGTCAGTTTTCCTCTGGAGTGAAAAAATAACATCCTCTGGAGTGAAAAAATAACATCACACACACACACACACACACACACACACACACACACACATACACATACACACACACACACACACACACACAACACAGTCTCAGTGTGCAGAGGTTACCTCAGGTCAAGTCTGTTATCTTAACCTAATTACATGTTTTGTTTTTGACTGTGTCGCAGGAGCTACTATTGACATAAATTGTGAAACCAACGGCGATATCAACGCTATGGACTGTAGCTGGAAGAACACACAGTGGACTAACCCCAATTTCAGATCCAGGTAAATGAGTTCTTGTTTTCCTCAGGCTCTCTCGTAACCATTTCATATGCTCAGATGTTTGCGTAAGCTGCGGCATTGTTAACGATCTAAGTGAGCTGAAAACCTGGAAATCACTGAAAACAAAGAGCAGAAGTCTCCTTTGTTGAACACACCCTCAAAATAATCACGTGAAGCAATACCTGGAAGTCATTGTCATCACAGTGTCTGGCTTTAGGGTCATGGAAAGTCTCTTGAGTCTCTAAGGAATCAAGGACCAACACAATGATGTAATTTCTATTCATTTATCAAGTTAAGATACCAGTTAAGGGCTGTGGAAAGTTCAGGCACAAGAGCTGCAGATGTTGCTTTTAAAAACCTTCACGCTCCTCATTCGTTTATATTCTCCCTCACAGGTGGGCTGACCTGCCCTGCGATGTGATGGAGGAGAGGGAGAGAGCCGGTGAGACTGTAGGGGAGGTCGGGCCGGCTTGCCTGCAGGTCAGATTCAAGAGGAAAACCTGCACCATCCAGCCCCTGAAGATGAACTGCTACAAGCTTTGGCTGGAGGTCCCGTCCAAGCTGGGACTCATCAGGTCCAAACCTGTCTACTTGTCTCCAATAGATCACGGTGAGCAGAGGCAACAGTGTAACTTAAGATTGTTGTTGAGAAAACACAACAGCCTCTCACTCTTTTCATCAAATTCTCTCCTGTAGTAAAACTGCACACACCCATCGATGTGAAGGCAGTGACTCGGAGCGGCAGGATCCTCTCTGTGTCGTGGAAGCTTCTGTACACGCCGTTCGACAGTTTCCAGTGTCAGTTCAGATACTGCCTGCCTTCTACTAGAGCCCAGCTGCAGTGGAAGGTGAGTTTGATTGTATTAGACATTTTAAACACTGTATTTTTTAGTAAAAAGCACATTGGTTCAGGTTGCTTTGACATGCGCACATCTGGTCAGTTTGACATCAGAAATAAGAGCTGAAATGAGACCATAGTTTCGCCTTTCCATCAAGACATCGCCCTAAAAATAAGGCGCATGCTTTCGGCAGCTTCCTCTGACTAACACAAGAAGAGAGATGAGGAAATTATTTGGAAAGACGGAGGAAACAGATGGGTCCTACATTAGATTATAAATGTCCTCAATAGCTCTATTTCCCCTTCACTAAGAAATAATAGGAAATGTCATCTGTGCAGGTCCAGAGTCCTGTGCAGGTTGAGAGTCCTTCGCAGGTGCAGTGGGGTGAGGTCACAGTGCCAGACATGTGCTGGGTGTATGCAGTCCAAGTCCGCTGCATACGCTCCAACGGTACAGGATACTGGAGCAAGTGGAGCGACTCAGTCTACTCCATGCCTCAAAACAGCAGAGGTAGATAAACGAAAAGACATTTAATTTCACTGATTTTGATTATCCAGGCGATTCAAAACCTCATCTGATATGTTCCCCTCAGCTCCTGAGCGAGGCCCTGATTTCTGGAGAATTCTTCAAGATGATCCGTACAGTAACCAGACCAACGCCACTCTGCTGTTTGAGGTGAGCATACTGAGACAGACGGTGAATAAAAACAGATTTATGATCGATGAGGAGCGTGAGAACATCATGCTTTCTGCTTCCACTTCAGCCTCTTCAGATGTCCGGACAGTCTTACTGTGTGGACGGATTGATAATCCAGCACCAGACCTCGAGCGGCTCAGTGGTGAGGGAGCGAATCGATGTGGCATCATCCTACAGCTTTGAGTGGGACCAGTCCCCCCAGACTGTGACTGTGGAGGCTTACAACAGTCTGGGGAGCTCAGTTAATAACTTCAACATGGTGCTGGAGAGACAGCCCAAACGTAAGTGAGCTGGAAAAGAAATCTGTGCTTTTCTTTTTTTTTTCCTTTTGTCTTTCTTCTTTTGGTCAGAATAAAAATAAACTATTTTTTTTCTAGCGCATAAACTCTATCATTCCTTCAGTTGGTAGATTGCAGCTCATTTATCAAAGCCGTTTCAAAGCATGTGGTTCAGCTCAAGCCTCAGATTTGGCTCTTTTATCCTCCCTTTTTGAAATTTTGTAGAAATTTGCTTCAACTGTTTTATTTTTATAGTCTATTGACCAAAACAGCTGATTGATAGAGAACAAAGAAGAAAAAGTCGAAAATCATAACCTACTATCATACACAACCGAAAAACATATTAATGTTCCTGCTTTTGCAGACCAATAATACCTCTTACCTCTTTGGATATTTTGTTTTAAGCATGTATCACGTTTTCTGACCCCCCAAAAATGTACTGTATGAATTTTTACTGTGGCGAAAGGGGAAAAAAAGACTGTCAATTATATGCCTTGCTGTCAATTATCCTGTGTGATACGTACCCTCTTGCAGTGGCAGTAGAAATCACAATAGTTTACAGTGGTTTAATTTGGTTTTGTGGGCCACAATAGCTTTAAAGATACTTCGAGGAGTTTTTCAACATTTATGAAATAGATTGAAATTCATATTAATGCCTTTTGATGGTTAAGATTTATGATTAATGAAAACTGAAGCAGCTAAGAGAGGGCCGCCGAGGGACTCAAGTAATCAAGTGCAAAGAAATAAATGAGCCGATAAAAAGAGAGCGTTTGAGGCCAGTTGGATTAGCGGTCTGTGCTAACTCTCAGAGACAGATACTTGAATCAGTGCTGTTGAAAACATGTTTCAGCAGAAGATTTCCAGTAAATGTTTTCTTTTCCTCCAAAATGAGCCAAGAAAAAAAAAAGTGCTGATGAAATGAACTGAACCAACCCCTCTAACAAATCCAGTTCTCCCCATGCTACCATTAAAAGTTGTTTCTTTCCAACTGGTTATTTACCTCATGCCAAGTTCACTTACATCATTGCTTAAAAATGTTTAAAAATAAGAGTTTATTAAAGTTGCGTAAATAAACAGGCATCCACTCAAACCTCAATCATGTGTCCCTGGAGAGCCCATTAGCGCTCTCGTTGGCCTTGCCGCCATTCGCCCTTGTGCAGTAAGAGCTTTTATCAGCAGCAAAACAGAGGTCATGAGATTCATCTCTCTAATGTCCCCCTGCCTAACACGCTGTTTATGTGCTTATGATGGTTGTCTGTCTGTCTCACATCATCAGGCTTTCAGGGAAATATTTTCATTCAATTACTAACTGACTGATTCAAAACATATGTTACGACGATGTTAATTTGTCATTTTACCAAAAGTATTCTAGGAAACATGTTTCAGTGTTATTAGCAGCCAAAACAGCAGCAGTGTGAATTAACCACGCTTATATTATAAAAGTAAGATACCACCCAGTTCACATTTACTCAGCGACCTCTGGTGTCCTCGTTATGTGGTACTCAAGACTCAACAAGGTACAAGAAGTGCATCAAGATAAAATGAGTCAGACAAGTGCACTTGACAAAGGAAAAAAGAAAAACATCTTTTAAAGTAATTTTTGGCTTTTATCTACAATGATTAGCCTCAGTTTGCAAACAATGTCTACCTATACTTCTAACTTTACTACATTTACTTCAGCACATATATCTCCACTTGCACTGCAGTGAACACCATGTGAATGAATTGTCACTTTAAAGCCTGTATTAATGCAGTTTCCCTTCTCTTTGTTCTGCAGGCCGCTGTTTGCGCTCATTCACCGTGTTAGCGATCAACAGCACATGTGTGTCTCTGTCCTGGACTCTGCTGGACAACAACTCCTTACCTCTGTATATGGTGGTTCAGTGGTCTCCTAAGGGACAGGAGGGTTCTGATCACCACAAGAGCGGAGAGACATGGGCCAGACTACCTTACACAGACCGCTCCGTTCATCTCAGAGGTAACACGAGCCCGTCCCTTTCTGTAACGTCATGTAATGATAATAGGCGCTGATATTTTTCCTCTATCGCACCAGTAAGTGTATAAAACATAATGGCAGTCTCACTAATATCACCCATTAGTTTCTGAAGGGATGTTTTAGGGCATGACGGTCATCATAATGGCGATGCTGACCTCCAAACTTCCCACAAATTTAGGCTTAGAGGTGGATTTGAGGCGACAACCTGATCACCTGGAAAACAGCTTCAATCACTCATCAATTTGAGGCTGTAAACGTGTATTTTTTGCTTTAGCATACACACATCTTAATATGGTTGTTAATGGGGACTTCTCTACTTTTGAGCCAGATCTGCATCTGCTTCTTTTGTCAACACAGGAGGTTGACACTTGTTTTACACACTAAGCAGTACTAATGGACTGAATTTCAACATGTTGGTGATTCAATCATTAGCGCAAGGTGGAGAGCAAATTCACAGGATAATCTAAAGGGTGCTGATAGTCAGTCCTCCAGCACATCCTAGACTTGGATCTTGATTTCTATGGCAGTTCTGAAAGCAGCATTTATAATTATATAACTTCAGTTGTTTTGACTTAATAATACATTTTTGCTCTTTCTGTACAAATAGTATCTGAAGTTGCTTTGGGTGCTTCTGTAACTGCTTTTTGCATTGCTTAATCTTAACTTACTGTATATGCTTCTGTTCAGGGGATTTCTTTGACTCTAAAGAGTGCTTTCACTTGTACCCTGTGTTTGCTGATGGAGAAGGGGAGCCAATGTACACAACAGGTATGCTGAATATTTACCTGCTGCTTGCTATGGAAACAGTATCATATTTGTGCTTAAATGTGAAACAATCCTGAGGCTTAACTGTGTTGTTAACTTTATTTTTTGTTTGTTTTGTATTCAGCTACCACCAGAGGAGACCCTGCTGCTTACATGATGCTGATGATTGTCTCCTTCCTGTCCATCGTCCTGTTTGTCACCCTGGTCCTCACCCAAAACCAGTAAGAGCCCAATTTGATCAAATAGAACTTCCTCTGGTAAAGCTTATGAAAGACTGTTAAAAAAGACTCTTTAAAGATAATATCTGGCATTTGAAGCCTTAAAACTACAATTAGATCTTACATGTATTCAGTGAAGGATGATGGGGATCTCTGGTGTGGCTTTAATTAACAGAGCAGACACACACACACACACACATCAATGAGGAGTGTGACATTTAAATGGTCACAAAGGTGTAATTACATTTGATGAAAGGTGACAGAGGTTGAAACAGAGGAGGGAAAATGCCTCTAGACAGAGAGATAAAGGTCTTTTCTGTTTTTTTCCAGGATGAAAAAGTTTGTGTGGAAGGATGTTCCCAACCCAAGCAAATGCTCCTGGGCCAGAGGACTCGACTTCAAAAAGGTCAAACAAACAATGTGAAACTACAGAAACCTGATTTTATATATGCTTCAATGATAGCTCTAAAAACCTGATTTATTTTATATAAGCATGTAAGTCCACAACATTTTGCACATAAAATTAGACTTGGAGTGATAAGAAAAAGTTTTAAAGATGAGAAAATTGATATCACTTGCAAGTGTCTCCATTTCAGTAAAAAGAAATAAACTTGAACTTTTCCCAAAATTCAAAGTTTTTTTATTGAAACAGTTTCCTCTAGAGCTGTAGAGGTTAAACAAGCAGTTTTTATCGAATATATAATATACACAGACTTGTCAGATCTCGACTATAACACCAAGTAGGTCTTCTGAGTAGCTTTTCTTTAACACAAATTTGAATGTTGAAATCTTTACCAGGAGCTAGGTCAAAGGACTCTAGCTGTAAAAAAAACCCAGTGAAATCTTCCCCTTTTTTCCCACAAAAACAATAAAGATGTCTCGTGTTTTTCATTGTTGTTATTCTCAACACCTGTGGTTTAACTTCGAAATTCATTTCTGTTTCTTTTTCCTTTTCCAGGTTGACAATTTTGACCACCTATTCCAGCCTCCTGAAGGTCTCCCAGCTTGGCCGCTGCTCCTGCCGTCGGAGAACATCTCCAAAGTGGTCATAGTGGACAGAGTTGATCTCTCAGCTCTGACTACAGCTTTAAATCAAACTCCTCGTGTGTCCTTAACCCCTGACGCAGCCACCGCGTTATCCGGCTCCTCTCCTCCAGGGTTTCACTCACAGGTTGACCAAGCTCTGTCCATGAAAAGTGAGATGCCTCCTGGTAGAGCTCCTTCCTTTGTCCTTAATGTTGACGATTTCACAAGTTCAAACTCAGGAACAGATCAATTACAGCTCACAGAGGACCCTCCCGGCAGCACTAACAGCTCTGCCCAGTCTACAGTCACATACGCCACTGTGCTGCTCTCTAACCCCACGCAGGACCATCTCCACTACAAGGATGGTGGTGGCAGCAGCTCCAGCGACGAAGGTAACTTCTCTGCCAACAATTCAGACATTTCTGGATCATTCCCTGGTGGCCTCTGGGAGCTGGGTGACCCAAGGCGCTCCTGCTCCTACAACTCTGTAGAGGAGCTTTCTGAAACATCAGAGCAAGACGGTGAAGAGGAGGTGAGAGAGGAGAAGGACTTGTATTATTTAGGAATGGACTACCCAGAAGATGATGAGGAGAGTGAAGGGGACGAGGAGCAAAGCATGGAGGAAACTAAGACTGAGCTGCTTCGAAGTGTTGCTTTGAACAGAGAGGACTCATTGGTGGAGTCGCACCCTTTGCTTGGCCCCGAGGACTCCAGTGAGCTCTGTGAATTACTGTCAACGCCACCATGTGATCTTTCCCCTCTGTACATGCCTCAGTACAGAACTTCTCACAGCGCGAGGCAACTCGCAGCTCAACACCAGGACAGCAAAACTCCTGCTGTGACTGCTTTGAAATGAAAATGTGCACTTTAAAATGCTTTTGTGTTGTGATCCAGCAATGCTGATTTGATATGTTCTTTCAAACATACTGAGGCTGCAGCTGCAAGATGTAAAAAATACCTCAACCTCTGTGTGATTGCAAGTCAATGTTCATCAACGCTGCTATTGTGTTCAGTGGACAAAGACACCAGGAGGGCACAAGCCTCATTGATAGGCATTTATTTATTTCTTTATGGGGTATTGGACTTGGTTCTGCTGTGCTGAACACTGAACTCACACATTACAAATGGAGGTTAGGCTGGTGGTATTGTGTGCAGCCACTGCCCTCAGAGAGCAGCAGATTAACTGCACAAGCTGAGTATTGATTGTCAAGAAAGAAGCAATAGAGAAGGTAAACTTGTGGTTCGAACATCGCACATGTGCAGCATATTTCACAGGTGTTTAAGCCTTAGATACATGAGAAAATATGTAGTGCTTTTTGATGCTACATGTGCTTACATTCACATGTATGCAGTCTCAAAGTGTAGAAACAAATTCTCTGGTCTTTGCTGCACGGTGTCGGCACATGAAAGAAGTTCAAAGAGAATACATAAGCGCACACTTAGTGAGAGAGGAAAAACTGGCGATCTGCAGTTCTCTCATAGCACATTAGACTGTGAAGGGAAGGACGACCTTGGATGTCACATCAAAGATATGAGTGTGACTGAACCAGTTAATGATGAAAACAGATGTAATCTGTGAATAAATGCAGGTGACTTACGATAAAGAATTTACTGCGTTTGTGGGAAGCTTGCAAAGCATCAACTGCATGGACCCAAAGAATGTAAAGTTTTGTACTTTGTGCTGTAATGTGTTTGAGACTCCGTTACAGTCTATAAGAAGTGTAATATCTATTTTCTCTGTGTCGTGCCGTTGACTTACAGGTAAGCTGTCTGGTGTATTTAAAAGACAAAAGAATGTATATTTGAGAACAAAGAGACAGAAATTTAAATTTATTAAAAAAATGAAATTGAACTATTGTAACATTGTTGACAAAAAATGTTCTTGTTTATGAAAATCTACTGTTTATTTTTCCATGGTGAAAATAAAGTGTCTACGGTGAGAGAGTATGGTCTGTCTAACACTGCCCAACACTTTATAGTGGATGCTAAAAAAGTAAACTTGGAAAAGGAAAAAGTCTAATGTCTTACTATAAATCCTGAATACAAGCTGAGTTATTCAAGAGTTGTTTAAAGTAAAAAGTTTAGTACCGGAAGTTACTTGACGCAATGACGTACAATGGCGCGAGTGAGGAGAAGCATTACGTAATAATTATGGGTGCCGGCAAGCTGAAATCGTTTAACAAAATTATTGAACAGTTACGGCCTGTTCTAAAACGCTCAAGTGTATCAAAATACACGTTTTGGATCCAAAACAGACGCGCAAATCCCGCATTAGTCATTTTGTTGTGACAAAAAAAATAATACATAAAGTGAAAAAACGAGGGCAAGTAGCTAACGTTTGTAGCCGCGCAAACAAAACTACTAGTAATTGTAGTGTAAAGGATGCTAACACTGTGAGGAGGATGTATCTACAAAGTCTACTTGAAGAGGACGAGGAGGACGATGAACGAGCTGTATGAAATGGGTAAGTAAGCGTAAAAGCCCTGAAAGTGAGCTACATAGATCATTCACTATGTGCCTGGACTAATACTCAGACAAGGTAGCAGGAAAGTGGTAGCTAGCATGACCTGACTGTGTTGTTTGCTATATGAAGTTAGCTACATAAAATAAAATAAAAAGAAGTTAGCTAAATCTGAAAATCAGTTAAGTTTAATTCAGCCGTGCGGCTGTGAAATATTTTGTAAATCCATCAAGGTTTTATGTGATATTTAGTTGTTAAATTAGATTGCATTCTGATTTAATTTTTATTACTGAGAGTATTGGGTAGCTGGAGACTGGAGATCTTCAAATTATTCAACATGCTATCAGCTTAAGCATCAGACTCATATGAATTAACTCAGGAGGTATAGAGTACAGAGTTCAGGCCAAGAGTTCTCATTGTAGAAATGCTGCTAAAGCAAGGGAGCAAAATGGAAAAGTATTACAGACTGAATATGTCCAGCTTTTGTCCAGGCATGTCTTCATGGTTTGGTGTTAGAAGTGGGTCCAATCTGTTTGATGGCAGAAAACCCACTCTCAGAGCGCTGATGTTGCTGGTATGCAGAGATACTGGCATGCCAACCTCTCTTTTCTATGCACTGACTTCCCACCAATCTGCTGGTTTTGTATCAGTGTTGAAATAATGTCCGGTAAAGATTCTCAACCTTTGTGTCTGTTGAGGCAGTTGTGCATTGCTCGTCCTAGATTAGTGGGTGGTTTAGATTGGAGACGTGGTCTGTCTTTAATGTGATACAGTTACCACACTTTGGCTGTAGCCTGGCAGATAGCTGCTATTTAACCAAGACGGAGACAGTATTAATGCCAGGTGCTGGCAAAACAGGTTTGGTGCTGTGAAGAACGTAAAAAAACCTCAGAGACTTCCTCTGCTGTCATTGAGTTCTGTGAGAAACTTCCAGAGAGTGAGACACCTTCCAAATGAGTGGGAGGACTGGGGGGAACTATCTGATTAATTGCTGAATAGTGCCCAGTGATTATTGGATAGGGTGCCAGAGGTGCCCATCTCTAATTCATATCTGGCAGCAGAAAATCCATGTGGTCTAGAGAAACTGTGCTTAAACTGAACTTTTATACTCCTGCTCAAACATAATTGAGAGCATAAAGTCTTCTCTTCTAGCTTGGCTGAGAGTTTTCAACTTTATTTCCTGCATCCACCAATATTAAAGGCTGTAGTAAAGATTTACCAACTACACACAACATTTGTTCCAATATCAGATTTGGTCTGTTATAAGTAGACTGTGGGATAAACTTGTCTGATCAAACAAAAGAATAGAAAAGCCTTAATTTTTTAGAACTATAGGATCTTTGTTGAATGATCTTCATTATGTCTCCAGTTTCTTTTTTCCTTAATCTCAGACATGTAATCTTTTTCACATACCTTGACATGTTTCAGCGGAAACTTCCGCCTTCCTCCAAAGTTTCACTTGGTGGTAGATGTGACACATCATATCAGCTGGTATTATGGAGGTGTGACCCTCCTGTCAGTTTTTTTGACAGGATGATCACACCTTCCGCTGTCTGGTTACCTCTGCAGGACGCTGCTCCTGGTGTGTGAGAGCATGCATGCCCCCTCATCTCTGTTCATCGTCCGTGGGGCCTGGTTTCCTGATTTCAATGGCATCCCTTACCCACTCTGGTGCTTATTGTCCTCAGTGTAGATGACTCTGGCCTTATCCCAGTCCATAAGTTGATTTTTCCTTTTACAATGGTCCGTTATGGCAGATTTGTAGTTTTCCTGTTGTGCTTTTTCTTTGATTGATCTTGTCTTGTTTCCATCTCTTTCTCACACTCTTTTTGATGTTCCATGTGATGAAGCTCCTCCCTGTCTCCCCAATGTATGTTTTATTGCATGATCGGCATGGTATCTCGTATATGACGTTGCATTTGTTTGTTTTGTTTGATGTTGTCCATTGGCTGTACTAGCATTTGCCTGAGTTTGGTTTTGTGGTCTGTCCGCTGTGTTCATGTTGTTGTATTTCCTCATGGCTTTCTGGATGCGTTCCGTGACTCCTCTGACATACAGTAGCGTCACCATTCCTCTGTTCTCTGTTTTGTTTGTGTGTTTCTTTTTTGATTCCTGTGCGGTTTCATTCTTTTTCACCTGTCCTGGGCCTTTGCTTATTGCCCACTGTGGATAATAGCAGTTTTTTAATGCCTCCTGTATATGTTTTTCCTCCAGTGTTTTGTCTTCTGCTGCCGTTACTATTGTTGCGTGTTCGTATAATGTTCTGACCACTGAAAGTTTGTGTGCAGTAGGGTGTTTTGATGTCCATAATAAATATTGGTCAGTGTGTGTGGGTTTCCTGTGGATTTTAATTTTTATTTCTCCAGTGGTTGTATGGTGGATTTTAATGTCCAGAAAGGGTATGGATTATCCTTCGTGTGTGAATTTGATGTTTCCTGTCGTGTCCATGGTGTTCAGATGGTCTGTGAGTTTTTGAGTATGGGCTGCTTTTACCTGGGGATCTTTACTTGAATAGAAACTGTAAGAATTCTTGTACTTTAAATACTGTAGTTTAGCTCCAGCCGAAAAATATCACAATACATGTGATTCTTAGAAAAATACTTTTAATTCTTGGACAAATACATGTACATATATAGCATAGATATGAATGCATGAAAACTTTTTTTATTTCTTATGCTGTACTTTTCTGCCACCTTGTGGCTGTAGGAGGCTGATACAGTAGAATGACTATGAGCTCCTAAAAGGAATAGTATCTGCAGGCTGTTTCACAGTCTAATCAGTGTTGCCTTGGATAGCACCATCTAGTGTCCCAACAACACATGCGACATAGATGCCCAGAATTGTGTTTTTAAAACTGCAGACTCCAGCTCTGCAGACTCATAATGTTGCTGGGTGTTCTCCAACTAACTTTAATTATTTTATACTCACTAGTTTCTCTCTTGAATGGGATGGTTTGAGAATGGGCTGTGCTGACTCTCAATCTGAGTTTTGTATTTGTCAAAACGTACGTTGACTTGAACACCATGAAGCCTCAAGAGGTCACTATAACTGCAGTTTGAGCTAAACCTCTATCACACATTAAACTGGTGTTGTTGTGGGTGAATTTTGTACACTTTAGTAAAATGTTTTTATCCTGTTCAGTTTGTGAATTTAATTTCAAAGTTACTAGTTTTGATTATGTGAAATGTGAAGGAGCGACATCCAGGGCAAATGTTGTATTGTGCAGTCTTTTTACATGTTACAATCTTTGCTGTTAAAAAAGCGTTGTGTCAAGTATAATATAGTTTCAGTTTGACAATTTAAAAGAATGCTGGTGTTTGAGCTCAGTAACACTATCAAGCCAAGTTTAGGTGTGCTATTATATTCAATCAATACAGCAAACAGAAAACTTGGGTGAAAGTACTGCATTACTTTGAATACTGTAGCAGACAACCTGGTTATCTGTATGAGATTAAATAAAACAACATAAATAGAAATCCATGGGTGAGTGTCAAAATACAGTATGAATGCATTCTTGCATGTATAGAACAATGAAATTAGTAGCTTTGTTTTCTTAAAAATGATGGTCTGTGTGTTGTATGGATGTGTCATACAGATGCATTTACATTTCACAGCCACAGGGAGACAGAAAAGTGATACTTTTGAGCTCTGTAAGCCACTTCTGTCAGCACTGTATCCTTAAAGGCCCTCTGTGCTGGGTCCCTTCTATTCCCCATAGAAGGACATGATACAGAGAGCTGCTGGCTGACAGCACTGCAGCCTAATGCCAAGCTTGGGTTAGAAATGGTCAAAGAAACACCGCAGAGAGGGGAAAAAGTTATGTTTATGGCTTTAGCTGAGGATTTTATTTCCTGAACTGTGCTGGGAGGTTAATCTTCTGTAAAGTGATCAGGACTTAAAGGATCCCAACCTGAAAACCATTAGACACAAGTGTTTCCACTTTAGTCGCAAAATTACATCCTACTCATGATCAAAAAGATCCTGATTCAAAAACCAAGCTTCCAGGAAGGATGTTCTGTCTAGTCGAGTGACCCAGATTCTTCTGGAGGCCCCCCGGCAGCAGATCCAAGTACCTGCTTGCTTCCTGGTCTGAACACCAGCAGCTTGACACGCAGGGTCGTGAGATAAGACGGCCTGCAGGGGAAATGCCGCACATGTGAAAGTTCTTTGGTGCTGCTGATCTGTCAGCTGCGACAAATTAGCATCACTAAGGACACTGAGCTACAAACTAGAGAGCAAGAGGTGCGTGACCTTTACAGGAAGACACATTACAAAAAAAAAGTTTGTGTTATTACTTAATTTCAGACTCAGCAAAAAGAAAAATAACTTCCATATAATGTTTTCAGGTCATAAGAGGGAAATTTCTAAGCTGATTAGCTTTTTAAAACACTTAAGAGCTGGTGTAAACAAAGTATCTGGGAAATGTAGTAATCGTCTTCTTAAGATTGAGCTTTGGTTAATTAGTGAGGATAAAAAGAGTTATTGA